AAGAAAAAGAAAAAGAAAAAGCCTTGGAGTTCAAAAGTTTCCTACTTCAGAATATTTCCTAGCACCCTCTCAGTTGAAAACCATCACCTTTACAAAATTCAAAACATGAAAAAGAACTTAAACTATAATTGTCAAGAGTGGGACAAAGTAGGAATCTATTGCATTTGCCAATATGTCCTGATGAAAGGACAGAAATGGCATAACAGTAGCCAATAAAGGTGAAACAAAATCCAAAAGAGCATTGACTTCCAAACTTAGGGACTAAAAGTTCACAGGGTACAGTCAGAACCACCTATAGGGTGAAGATGTCATCGCATTTTAGATTCAAAAGCATGCAGAAGCTTTCAGCTTAACAATTACCCATCTTGCCGAAGTACAAGAAGTTGGTTATGAGGCGCCAGAACTGATATTGCTTCACGACAAGCATAGGGTTCAAGTAAAGATGATAACGAGATATTATCAAAAAAAAAAAAAAAAAAAAGAACACTGAAAATCAGTGGAATACCAACCCAAACGTGAAATTCCCCTTCAAAATGTTAATACAGCAACCCAAAATAGAGAAGATGAAACCATCATCAGATATATGCATATTAATCAACAAAAATCAAAACTTGTTGACAAACCCAGATATTAAATCCCAATGGGACTCACGAAATTAAACCAAACCCAGCAGAAATCAGAAAAAAAAATAATAATTCGTAGACAATTGCTCATGTATTAGTGAACAAAATTGAAAACCCAAACGTAAAAATAGAAGTCCAATTAAGAATTAACAGAAACAAGTGCAAGAATTGAAGTCCAAGACAGAGTAACGGGCATACATCGAGGGAGCAACCAATGGTCGTAACCACTGCTGCTGTGAGATAGGAGCGGGTGATGATAGGCATCTGCTTGTACCATTCTTCAACAGCTTGAGCCATTTCTCTAGAGAGCAAGCGTTAGATCGAACCAAGATTTCTGAAACCCAAATTTGAAAAAGGTGAATGATTCTCCGGGATAATCGAAGGTTCTGGGCTTTGAAGATCAATACAGAGTTTGTAGAAGAAAGAAGAAGAGGAGTGGTGAGTCAACAGGAACAGAGCCAGAAGCTGTGGGTACGTTATCTTCTTCTGCGGTTTGTGCCGTATATTGTACCTCTAATGACAAGACTTAAGTGAATTACAGAGCGCGTGGCTTACACGAACCAATAAGATTTCTATAAATATTATTCATAATTTTTTTGGCCAACATTAATTAAAAAAATTATTCGCAATTAATCCTACGAAAATTCATATTATAATAATCACAGATTCACAAACAAGTGTTCTTTTTTTTT